AGCTCCATTTCAGAAGAATAAAACAATTATTCTTATCTTTTATCTTAGAGCTCTTTATTTTTCTTTAGATGTAAATACATTGTTGCTTCATAGGCGGAGAAAGTAGTTTGGAGCCGGGGGAAGATTTTGGGAAGTAATGAGGGTTGTAGTGTTAAGGTTTATTGAAGTTTGGGGTTTGTTATGTGTTTCCTAATGTACACTCCTAACCCATTGTTAACGGGAGCTAATCACCTTTTGATATTCTATGCTCGGGCTTTAGAATCATTCAAAACTTCCTTAAGCTCTAGATTTTATCACTGCATTCCCGGCTCAAGGTACAATTTACAGCAATAAAATTACAGAACAATTTGTTTCCCTTCTTATTATTATTCCTTCGATTTGTCTCACTTTTTCTTTCTCTTCCATCTTCTCTTATCCTACCTTTCATCCCATACTTACGGTGAACGGTTAGTTTTTTTCTGTTTGAATTCTATTGTTATAATTCAACAATATTTAACCTTGCGAACGTATTTCAATATAAGTTTTCAAATAAAAAGCATATGCTAACAGAAAGGGCAAACAATGTCTAATTTGTCAAATTGTGATCGAAAGTCACAGCTATCTTTTTTATTCTCTCCTTTTAATCGCAGTTAACCCGTATTTTCTCAATCTTTTCTCTGCTTTTTTCTCTCTTCCCTGTTGAGTAAGTTCCCCCTGTTTATGTTAAAATATAAGAATCTCTGGGAAATTTAAGGATCCATTAAGAAAAGTTTAGATAACGTTGATAGGTTCGATTTTATCTCCGCAAAAAATGCATATTTCACTCAATCTTGCAAATATCAAATTTTACTAAACGTCTGAAAGTGCTTTTTCTCCAAAGAAACTGATTACTTGCCTCAACCCCTAATTTTCTAATCCTTTTATCTTTGAAGTCTAGTACCTTTGAAATTTAAAACTTTGGATTTTAATGGATTGTAGTAAAAGGTTAACATAGGTTTCAGGTTGCTAATATAAAGGGATCATAAACGTGTAGTTTGTTTGTTATATTTTCTTATTTAGCCAAACAATTGTTTTTAAGTTCTGTACAAGATCAGAGATAACTATAATATCTGAATATACTTATAGTTATATACCTTAATAGCGCGCTCTATGCTTCATGACTAATTGTGCACACAGAGAGAGCATGCATGGATCATCTGTATTAATTTGGTAATATAACCAGACCTCACGAGCTCAAATATATTCAATATAGAACACTTTAATAATATTACTAAAGGTTAAAAGTTAGGATCACAGTTAACTGAAAAAGCACTAAAAGCTGATTGTTTAGATTTTGGAATAACAGTTTTTTAATGTAAAGATTAAAGGGAGTGGAATTTAGTTATATATACATATTGCATGCTTTTCAGTTTTTAATAAAGATTTAAAGTTATTTTAAGATTTATTATTCAATAATTTTACAGAATCTCGTGTGCACATGGAGCACAAGTACGTATAGTGTATAGCACTGTTTAATCCTCATAACATGACAATTTGTGAACAAGCGATAATTGATAATTGGAACAAAAACTTATCTTCAAGAGAGGTGGTATGGTTTCTAGACGGGAGGGGGGAGAGGGGTGGTCGTGAGTAGGAGTGGTCCAAAATTCCCGCCCTCTTTTGTGAATAAAAAAGAAAAGAACTTGAATAGAGTTTACAAACAGTGTAGTTCAAATATATACTGTTAGAACATCCATTCATAGAAAATTCATTCATAGAACACTCACTCATAGAACATTCATTCATGAACACTCATCTATAGAACACTCATTCTTAGAACACTTATTCATAGAATATTCATTCATGAATACTCATCCATAGAACACTCATTCATAGAGCACTCATTCATTGAACATTCATTCATAGAACACTCATTCATAGAACACCATTCATGGAAAATTCATTTATAGAACACTTATTCATGGAACACTCATTCATAGAACATTCATTCATAAAACATTCATCCAAAGAACACTCATTCATAGAACACCCATTCATAGAACACTCATTCATAGAACATTCATTCATAGAACACTCATTCATAGAAAATTCATCCATAGAACACTCATTCATAGAACATTCCTTCATGGAACATTCACTCATAGAATGCTCATTCATAGAATCAAAGAAAGCTCATTCATAGAACATTCATTCATAGAAAACTCATTCATAGAACATTCATTCATAGAAAGCTCATTCATAGAACATTCATTCATAGAACACTCCTTCACAGAACACTCATTCATAGAACACTCATTCATAGAACATCCATCTATCTTTCTAACTATCTATCTATCAAGCTTATTACTATTTATCTATCTATCTTAACATCTATCTATCTATCTAACCATTTATCTATCTATCTTACCAAGTTTATTATTTACAAGAGTTTAAAATGAGGATGCTAAACCCTTAAACCTTGCATAGTCATCATTTAATGGCAAAGACGAGTCCAGAGAGAAAAAAGACCTGAAACGAATATGAAGGAAGCTAAAAGATGAAGAAAAATTAAGTAAAGAAAAATAAAAAGTCAAGTAGGAAGCTAAAAGATGAAGAAAAATAAAAAAGTCAAGTAGGAAGCTAAAAGATGAAGAAAAATAAAAAAGTCAAGTAGGAAGCTAAAAGATGAAGAAAACTAAAAAGTCAAGTAGGAAGCTAAAAAATTAAGAAAAGATACGTAAAGAAAAAGAATGCTAAGATAAGGTAGAATGAAAAGGAGAATCAGAAAAACAAAAATGTCGAGTAACATCAAAATAAGAAGATTAAGAATTAAAAAGAAAAAATTAAGGATAAAACAAGTGAAAAGGCAAGGGAACGAAGAGAAGAATAAAACTGAAAAGAGAAAAAAAAGAATAATTAGAAGAATGACCAGATTGAAAATAATGCTTTGAGAGGGGTTAAATAAATATTCCTAATGTTTACTATCAGACTAAGCTAAGAGGAGGATGACCAGTTTGATCTATAGTAATTCAATATAATACTTTTGTCGATTCTTCATATTTATTTAAAAAATTTTAAATTTTTCAAAGGTTTAAAGTATAATGCTTTGAATTATTTTTCATGTAAGCGACCAAAGAACAAAATTGTAATGGTCATAATTTTTTAATGTTGATCGTTAAATAGTTGTAAACCATTTTACCGATTCTTCAATCTTCGAGGATCAGAAAAATATTTTAAACGAAAAGAATCTCGTTTTCAAGGGTGCAATGCAAGGAAAGTTAATTGCGGTCGTGTATACTCTGCATACACATTACAACCAGTTCTATTTGGGCGGAATTTGTGAACAATAATAGATGCATCAGTGTCCGTTTAGTATCCGAGGAGGTTAAAAGCATTAAATTTTGATAATTTTGATAATTCACATAATAGTTTCCTATGACCAGAATATTTCATTGATTTTTTTATGTGAAAGATGGATCCCATGTCAGGCTTTGACATCCGTCTTGTGTTTACATTACCGCCCAGAGACAGTACACTGCAGTACAAAAGATGTGTACACTTCTGAAATAACTTTCCTTGCATTACATCCTTGCTCGTTTTAAACATTAAACATGATATGAAGTACGCTCAATCAAATAGTAAAGACGACTACTAAAATAAAACATTTATTTCAAAATGTTCCTTAGTAATTAAGATGTTTGTAGAAATACAAAGGAAATAAAAACTTTCCACATATTCTAATTTTGTTAGATTAAATAGTCTAAGTTCAAATATACACTATCAGGTTACAAAGTTATAGGGATTAAAAAATAGAGTTTGTATTCAGTTCCTTAATCAGTGTTAAATTAAATATTCTTGAAATATATCAAAATAAAACATTCATTAAAATTCCTGGATAAACTGGCAGTAAACAATCGGAAACTTGAACTTGAAGATAAAAAGATAAAATCCTCCCCGATGTTGCCAAAGGAATTGAGTATTTGAAAGTATTTTGGTAACTTTCAAAGAAAAATATCACCTTATAATTTAAGACAATTTGATATTCTTGGAGTTTTATAAAAGTTAATACAATTTTAAATAAGGTTTCTATTTCCTTGTTCTTACAGTCATTTTGTGAATGAAAACTATAAGACACAATTTTATGCTTTGAAAATTTTTTCATGGGGGGGGGGGGTAAAACTTTTGAATTTGGTGCGCAAAGCGCTCCCAAATTTTTTTTTCCCACCCCAATTAGAAAAATACTATATTTATCAAATTATTGGTTTTAATTGGGTTTGATTTGCAGTTTCCACGATCATTTCTATTTTCTGACATTTACAAACTCCATCAAATAAAGGCTTCATTCCCTACATTTCAGCTTTCACCTTGTTTTTTATTCTTCATTATAGTCATTCATTTTACATTAACTACAAAGATCCGTAAAAAACTCAATTTATTTTAAGTAAAATAAAAAATAATAGTTTTACTCTAAGAGGAAAAAGATAAATTACTTATTTAAATCTTTAGAAAAGCTATACTCTGCAAAACTTGGAAAAAATATTGTCTTTGTTTATATATTCTTATTTCTATAATTTCTAAAAATTTCTTGTCGTCAATGTAGTATGTTAATTGATCTTAAATAAATCTAAAATGGAAATGACATTATTTAGAAGTAAAAATGTATTTTTCATTAATTTTTTGAAAATAGAAGTTCTACTTTGACAGTCTTAGAATAGGTATGAAGTATCGCAGATATTGAACACTACTATGGTTGTCGAAGATATAAAGACAAAATGTAGATATGAATGAATGTTGATTTAGATGGTTACAGATGAAGGAACAGGCCCGTAACCAAAATTTTTTCCAGGGGGGGGGGGTTTAAAGTGAGAGGGAAATGACCATCTTTCTAAAGTATAAAAACCATTTTTCCTAATTTAATAGTAAAAAGTTTAGCATTGAAATTTTTAATCCAATATATTATTTTAGTTTTACGTTTGCACACTATCTATCTATCAATGAAAAGAATCAATCGAAAATGTCGAAAATTACGTTTTTAAGCTTACCTTTTCTTATTGTTTAAAATACATTCACTAAAATTATAATTTTTCTCACATTTTGGTGGTTTTTTAACGTTTAGCTCTCGCGCTCTTGATTTCACTGCACGGAGCGCGCTATAGCTCCACGCGCCACGAAGATTCCTTCACTACTGAGTTAAGAATTTATCAAGTCAAGTGTTCGGACAAAAGGGACTCAACAGACAGACAAACAGACAAACAATAAACAAGTGTATCACACATTTACAATACAGAACGACAGCAGTTAAACAGAATACATTTTCAAAGTGTTGATTTAAAGAGGTTTAATGGCGACCTATCAACAAACTCAAAAGATTATAATTTAGATCAGACAACAAAATTATAGATAAAAAACATATACCCGGCCAGCAATGGCTCTATATTATTTAACATATTTAATATGTGTATAATAAAGATAAAAATTGTACAAGACAAAAAGAATCTAAATTTCTTAAAAAAAATTCATTTTTTTCCCATGATTTAAATCATTTGTATTTTTTTAAACTTTCAAAATCTTGACTTAAATTGATCCCTAAATTTTGAGCAGTTTGTGTTCTTTCCTGTCTGCTTAGGCATGTATACATATATATAATGCTAAAAAGGTTGTGATATAGATTAGTTTACTTTTGGCTCAAAAAATAGACAAGGGGGGGGGGAACTATCTTCTATATCACATACAGTACTGTTTTTTTTGGAGGGGGGGGGGGGGGTCTTATGATTTTGGATCCTTAATAAGTGAAATATAAGTTGCTTCACTATAGTTTCAGTAGAAGTAAATATTTCTATTTACTGTTTAGCCCCGATTTAAGGATTCATCTCTAATTGGATAATGAGATAGATAGAAAGATAGATGTTACCGCTATACTATTCTATTGGTTCAGAATAGACAACAAACACATGACTGAACCCTGATTGGATCAGGCGCTAATGGAATCGGCATACAGAAGTGGCTTGTGACCCATAAAGATTGCACAAACAACTTCCAACGATACCGGAAGGTTTATACCTCTAGTTATTGTTGCCGAGCCAAGTCAGATCAAGGTTTAATGACGACTGGGTACATTTTTTTAAAAAATTGTTATTTGATATTTATTTCAGAGTTCAGAACTTCAAGGTTTATATAACTTCGGACCAGATTTAAAGAATAGGGAGAAGTAGTTGAACCAGATACGGTCGGTTCAACCAGTTCTCTTGTGCGCCATGTCAAGCTAAAGAGCTTATTGGTTCAATTTAGTCTACGTTGTTTAAATACTTCTCCTCTTCATTAAATCTAGTTCCTGTTATTGTAAATCAGATTAGAATATTATTAAAACAAAATCACCTTTAACCTAACCAACAGAAAGCTATGAAAGTTGTTCGTCAACTTTTTAAGACGGGGTCAAGGGCGTACACAGGGGGGGGGCAAGGGGGCAGTGCCCCCCCTAGAACTCAGAGCTATCACACTTTTCAAATCTGAAACTGTTTTTTTTTTCCTGGTAGTTTTGTTTGCAGGAGAGATAAAATAGTACTTGTAAGGTAATTGAACTGTATGTGATACCTTTAAAGTATCCGAGAAGCCAAATCTTTTGAATTTGTAGTCCATATTTATCCCCCCCCNCCTCCCCTCCTTGATTTATTTCCATGTATACGCAATTGGACCAGGTCATCTTTGAAGTGTCGCAATGCCATGTTAGTTATTTTGTAGTTAATTACTCACCCGTACTTATTTTAAGCCCTAAACATTTCTATTTTAGAACTTGAACATTGAACATTGAACATTGAACAATCGTTTGATCCTAGCTTCAGTTTGAAAGGAGTAATGTATGAAATGTAAAGTTTTGCATGAGATCGTTAAACATTTTGAATCGCTGTTCACCGTTAACGGTCTCCCCTCACTCTACCCATCCTCAATTCATTTCTATATTTTCTATTTTCATTCTTTAAAAACAACCATTTAACAATCCATGATTGCGTTGATCATAAATCAGCATTGACTATCCCCCCCTTCTCCCCCCCAGTTATAACTGGGTTACGTTCTCTCTTGTTTACATCATACATCTCCTCCTTCCCAGCAAGTTTATTGTAAATAATAAAATAACTTTTGAATAATGGAGTCCCTGCTGCGACTCTGCCCTTGTATGGAGAGACTAGAAAGAGGCGCAGTCACACGTTTTGTAGTTTAGGTAATTTGAACATGGACATTTTTAAACTCTTGGATGGGTCTATTTAGAGACAGGGGAAGAATATCCATAAAATAGAACATCTTATTCCTTTAAATCGTCTCTCTGATAATTCTCTTAATAATAGGAAAATACATAGAAGACGACATCTCATTAAAATACGCTAAGCAGTAAATATTCTCCCCTTGTCACCTTATTTGGTAGTGGCGCATATTTTGCTGAAGAACTTGTTTTTCTTTTAGTTAGTGATCTTAAAATTCAAAAGAATCCAAGATGAGCGAATTTTTTTTTTATTATTTGTAGTTTAAGCCCAAGGCAGTGTTGGATCTTTATTTGGTATAAGATATTTTGGAAAAAAACAAGATTAAAGATTAAAGATGGAGATTCGGGGTATTTCTGTGACTCAACGGAAAGCATTTTGTCGTAATCAATATATAGATAAACAGGTTTAAGATTTAAATTTTATGCTTATGTTTTGCCTACATGAGCCTAATAGATTAACTTATTAATGTCAATGATGGATAAACGTTAACGTGATTCAATCTTAGGCCAATTAAAAAACTAATTTATTCTAAGAATGAAGACAAGACAATGAAGAGGTTTGGAGATAAATAAACAAATTTAACAAGTTGCAAAAAATATTTTAAGAAGTTATGCGACCAAACCAAATGTTCAGTTATGAAGAACCATGAACCTATGTAATTGGTTTTGAAGAACCATGAGCCAGATATTTATTTTTGAAGAACCAAACCAAATATTCAGTTTTGAAGAACTAAACCAATATAATTAATTTTGAAGAGCAAAATCAAATATTTAGTTTTAAATAAGATTTATTTTGAAGAACCAAACCCGAAATCAAATATTCAGTTTTGAAGCACCAAACCAAATATTTAGTTTGAAAGAACTAAACCCAAAATCAAATATTTAGTTTCGAAGAACTAAACCAACATAATTAATTTTGAAGAACCAAACCAGATATTCAGTCTTGAAGAACCAAACCAATATAATTAATTTTTAAGAACCAACCCAAACATCTTGTTTTGAAGAACTAAACCAAATATTTAGTTTAACCAAAATATATGTTCAGTTTCGAAGAACCAAACCAACTATTCTCAAAAATCTGTTATTTCTGTCTTTCCGACCATCAACACAAACACAAAGATTATTGAAAATATGATTGAGTATCTTCTAATTATCCTCTCAGCTCATTTGTATGTTTGTGCATGCTGCCGAACAGTGTTTGTTTGTGAAGCGTGAGCCTGGGTCTGATAATTACCTATGTAAATAAAGAAAATGAATTCATTGAATCCTCTGCTCTGAGGTTCAAGTTCAACTATTTGAACCAGGAATTGAGAACTATATGAGCTAACCCTAGCATGTTCACAATAGAAGGAAACATATATATCCCAGTCATACATTTCACATGTCAAGGAGTAGAGCCATAGAGAATAGAATATATATTAGAGGGGAATTTAAAGAATCTCTCGGTATGATTTTTTTCAGTCCCTTTCAGTCTGAAAGGTAGTTCAAAGTGTACAAATCATGTAAATGTTCACAAATTATATGCAGTAGAGTACATTAATACAGTATGTTCCCTCGACTATTCATTTCAATTTCGAATTTTTTAAACTGTTAAATAAACTTTATAATGAATCCGGTGAATAAAATTGATTTATAGTTATAACGGAAAATCATCGTTTGTAAAGAGGAAGGCATAGAGTCTATGTGAAATGATCATTGGTAAATTATGAAACCAGCCTATATCATAATTTGGTTTTCTTTTAACAATAATTTTAGATTTTCTATAAAATGATATTCCAGGGCCCAAAAGGTTATATAGCATAAATATGTGAAGTAACCCCACCCCCAATATAAAAATTGGTCTAGTTGCTACCCCCTAGCATAATATTGGTCTAGTTGGTACCCCTAGTATAATATTGGTCTAGTTGTTACCCCCAAGTATAATATTGGTATAGTTGCTACCCCCTAGTATAATATTGGTCTAGTTGCTACCCCCTAGTATAATTTTGGTCTAGTTGCTACCCCCTATTATAATATTGGTCTAGTTGCTACCCCCTTGTTTAATATTGGTCTAGTTGCTACCCCCTAGTATAATATTGGTCTAGTTGCTACCCCCTATTATAATATTGGTCTAGTTGCTACCCCCCTGTTTAATATCGGTCTGGTTGCTACCCCCTAGTATATTATTGGTCTAGTTGCTAACCCCTAGTATATTATTAGTCTAGTTGCTACCCCCTAGCATAATATTAGTCTAGTTGCTATCCCCTTGTTTAATATTGGTCTAGTTGCTACCCCCTAGTATAATATTGGTCTAGTTGCTACCCCCTTGTTTAATATTGGTCTAGTTGGTACCCCTTAGTATATTATTAGTCTAGTTGCTACCCCCTAGTATATTATTGGTCTAGTTGCTACCCCCTAGTATAATATTGGTCTAGTTGCTACCCCCTAGTATAATATTGGTCAATGACCTGGAAAACAAATGCTATTAATATAAATACACTGTAAACCAATATTAATTTGCACACTGGGCCGAATTAATTAATAGTTGCCATATATAGGCACAGCTTTACAGCCAGGCTTACATAGTTTAGAATGCAGTTGGACTTGTAGGACCTAGTTTAAAGAGGACAATGGAATATAAGGGACTAGTTAGAGACCCAAACTAGGTTTACAGGGAAGAAGGGACTCAAACTAGTTTCAGTGGGGGGGGAGGGGACTCAAACCATAGGTTTAGGAGGAGATGTAGAGACCCAAACTAGGTTTAGAGGGAAGGAGGGACTCAAACTAGTTTCAGGGCGGGGGGACTCAAACCATAGGTTTAGGAGGAGATGTAGAGACCCAAACCAGGTTTGCGGGGTTAGGGACTCAAACCATAGTTAGGTTTATGGGGAGGAGGGAGTTAAACTGAGTTTCGGGAGCTTTAGGGGTAGTAGGGACTT